CATACCAAACCCAAGGATGCCGTCGACTCCTAGTAGGTCAAACCATCAGATCGCGACAGAGATAGGTAGAAGGGGAAGGCGGGGGGCGGGGGAAGAAAAAGGAGAAAGGAAGCGAGAGGGGAAGAAAGGAAGGGAGAGGGGAAGTAGACGAAAGGGAGGAGGAGAGAGGGAGGAGGAGAGAGGGAGGAGGAGAGAGGGAGGAGAGAGGGTCGGGAGATCGCACCGTTAAAGTCAGGGCTGTTGCAATCCGTGATGGAGCCAAACTGAGGTCTTGCATATCAGATACAGAAGGGGCAAGCAAGATCGAACAGCAAGAATGAAGGTGGACGAGAACGACGTCAGAGTACTGATGATGATGATGATGATGATGATGATGATGATGATGATGATGATGATGATAACGATGATGATAATGACGACGATGATCACATCGTGAAGAAATGTTGGGAAGCAGGGGAAGCACAAGCCGTACCTTGGTCTCCACGAAAAAATCTCCCAGTTGCACGACATCCCTGCTCTGAACAAGCAGTCACAAACCTATTCCACCCTCTCACCCATTCCAAATTTCTCCTCTCCTCCTCCTCTACTCCTGCTGCCCTTCATCCTCCTCTCCGTTCCACTGCTGCTTCTTTATTCTCCTTGACCTTCTCCTCAACTTACTTGAAATCCCTTGAGATGAGAGTTATCTGCGTATGCGAGCAAGAACATCTGCGCATCAAACATCACCTTCATCTCTCTTCCCTCCCCTCCCCTCCCCTCCCCTCCCCTCTCCTCTCCTCTCCTCTCCTCTCCTCTCCTCTCCTCTCCTCTCACCTGCTTGGGCACCACATGGAAGCTCTTGCTCTTTGACGGATCGTAGACGGTCGAGTTCTTGGGGTAGAAGGGGATTTTGAACCCGCTGCTTGCCGACGATGATGACGACGACAGTTCCTGGAACTGCCCTCCGACCCCAGAAAGCGTCCCGAATGTGGGGCTGAGCACGCCATGCGTCAACGGTAGGAATGGAAGAAGGCAGCAGAGGAAGAGCTGGAGGGTCGGGACGACGATGATGACAAGGCAGGGGAGAAGCAGGAGGCAGGGAGGGGGACAGGGAGAGAGAGGGAGAAAGGAAGGAGAGGGAAATGTTCGGGTAGGAGACCTTGAATGTTGATCTTCATCCTGCAGCAGCTCCTGCAGCGCTTGACTTCCTGCATGCCATGTCAGCATCCCCGTCCTTGTCGCCCTCGCTCCCTCACCCTCCTCACTGCTGCTCATCTCTGCGATCCTCTCTGCCGCGTCCCTCTCGGAAGGGCTCAACCTCAGGCTGCTCGCGTGCCCACATATCAACGTTGCGCACAACAGGAAGGGAAGGATCCTGTCAGCGGGAGGAGGAGGAGGAGGAGGAGGAGGAGGAGGAGGAGGAGGAGGAGGAGGAGGAGGAAAAACCGTTAGAAGCGGAGAGTTGTCAAGAAGGATGGCGTACCTCATTGCCGTCAACCAAGTCTGGGTCACTCGTGTGCCCGTCTCCTCCTCCAAGTGGTTTGCTCCTCGTTGATCTCTTCCTGCTCGAGGCGTCAAACGCTTCCCCGGCGATCCAGAATGGCAGTAACGAGTGGGGTGAAAGAGGGTGCGGCATGAAGGGACGCCGGGAAAGAGCGTCCGCACGCAAGGGACGGACGCGTCAAGGTCTTTGGGGGTGCATTATGCAAGCGAAATGGTTTCAGTGAGGAGGAGAGGAATGGTGGAGAACTGTAGGTCAGTGAAGGATAGCAGCGGTGACAAGTCGGATCGAATCGGCAGGGCAGGGATACGGCGAGGATCATGGAGAGCGCTGGAGAGCTGTTCGATGGCGGAGATCAAGAGGAGGAGGAGGAGGAGGAGGAGGAGGAGGAGGATGAAGGAGAAGAGGAAGAGGAAGAGGAAGAGAAGGAGAAGGAGAAGGAGGATGATGATGAAGAGGAGGAGGGTTCTGATGCGCCAGGAGGAGGTGGTGGTGGCGAAGCAAGCGCAGTGGAGCAGCATGCAGCGATGGTGAGTCACCTAGTCTGGCCCTCATCCCCACACATGCAGATCGGATCGGATCCCAGGACTTCATTGCCGATATCATAGTCTTTACTCAAAGACAGTTAAGCTAAAAATTAGTACGAGGACAATCAGGAGACCCTGACACTCTGTCGCACAGGCCATACGACTCCGGCCGGGCCGGGGCCACGCGCCGCGCGCCGCCCGGCCGGTCTGAGAGTCACCGCCGGTCCGGGAGCCCGGCGGGGTGCCCCCCCCGGCCCGCTCGCCGGGGGGCCCGGCCGGGCCCCGGCGCTACTAGGCTACTGGGCCGCCATACTACTGAGCCCGGCGTTCACGGTTCGAATTGCACCAGTGAGCCGTTCGACTCGAGTCCGAGTCAGCCCGCCGGCCCGGCAGCAGGCCCCCCGGGCCGCCTGGTCCGAGTCGCCGCGGCCGCCGCAGCAGTGGCCGCAGCCAGGTTGGTAGGAGCCTGATCCGATCCAAACCACCCCATATCTAAGAGGGGTACTCATCTATGCCTAGGAGGGGTACTGTCACCTGCCACCTATGGTAAGCAAGCCCGCTTCAGCGCCGCAGGCATGCCGCGTCGTAACGCTGTTCCGGTGAGTAGAAGGCGGGAAGATGGGGCGGGGAGGAGGAGGTATGCTGTGACAATGAGAGGAAAGTAGAACAGCATGCTTGTTCTCACTCCATCCCTCCACGGAAACCTGCGAGATCAGGGCGAGAGACCGGCTCCCTGACCCGACCATGATCCCGACGAGGAGGGAATGGCTTCGTCCCCTCAGGACGCAAGTCTCGCTCCCGTGTCTTGTCCTCCTGCACCCTCTCCCTGTCTCAGCTCCCCATCCTTTGGGATCGACAACCAACCCCTCCGCCTGCTCTTGTTCCATGCCGTGACCAGCCCTCGACTGACTCGCTGCTACAGGAGAGAGTTTCAGGGGAACAGCAGCACACGGAGGTAGTGACGGTGAAGCTCCCGCACCAATGGATGCCCAAAGCCCGTATGAAGGCGGTCAGCCCCCTCGGCATTCCCTTCGAGTTCGTCCCTCACCCCGAGTCCCGGCCATGCGGCACGCTGGAAATCCGCGTCTACTCAATGAAGGGACCTCCTGGGGAGACCTCTACGAACGCCGACAAACCCGTGCCATGCCGCGTCGTCGGCAAGGAAGTGAGTGCGTCAGAAACGACGGAGGAGACGGAGGAGACGGAGGATGTTGGTTCTCTTGCTCATTGTAGGGTGTGCAACGACGGAGGCGACGACGAGAGCATGCTGCTGTGTGACGTTTGCGACAACGGGTTTCACATCTACTGCCTGAGTCCGCCACTGGCGGCGATACCGGAGGGAGAATGGCATTGCTCGGAGTGCTCGAAGAACATGCCGGATTGGGCGAGATTCAAAGTCAATGACAGGTAGCTGGACAGGTCAAGTATGCTGGAAAACTTGCAGCCTGACGCTGAACGGCAGATGCGTTGCCTTGTTCGAACAACAATCATGGCTTGTCAAGATCTTGAAGATAGATGGCCAGGAAGCCTTCGTGCACTTTGATGGGTGGAAGAAGAAAGAGAATATGTGGATCCAGCGCAAGATCCTGAGGCCCGTTCCCCCCAAGGAGGAGCTCACCAGAGTGTACAAAGGGAAGTTATTGACAGAGGAGGAGGAGCAGCAGTTGAAGTCGAAGAAGTTGAAGAAGAAAAAGGAAGACAAGAAGACCGCCAAGATGAAAAAGAAACTCAAGGAGATTCAGAAGCTTATCAAGTCGGTCGAGGCAGAGAAGAAAAAAGGGAACGGGGAAACGTCAGCGAGCAAACTCTCGAGCTCTTTCATCGAAGAGCTCAACAAGGTAGGGAAGGCTTCAGCGAAGCAGGCGTGTGAGAGCTCCAACACAAGTGCTTCCACGGTCGATCAGAAGTCCGAACGAGAAGCTATCAACGCGAGATGGATGCTTAAGCTGAAAGGCAGGATCCATCACACCAACTCCCTCCCCAACATCACCACCCTGTCAGCTGGATGTGACGACGGATGGAGCGACTGTTGTGTGGAGTGCGGCGAGACAGGAGAGTTGCTCTGCTGCGACACATGCCCGAGGACCTTCTGTCTCGACTGCACGCGCCTGAACAAGGTGCCCAGAGGAAAGTGGAGCTGCCGCTCTTGCGTCAACTCCCAGCGGATGATCGCGACAGGAGGAGGGATAGGAAGCGACCAGATCCTCCTGCAGATCCAGAGGTTGTGCGAGACGTTCCCCATGACCCACTTCCTAGGCGCGCTCTCCTTTGACATCGCGCGCGTGCGGGCACTGGCGCAGGCGTGCAGGAACGAGGGAATATCTCTGAACGGGATGCATGAGGTCTCGACAGCCCGGGAGGCCGTCGACAAGCTCAACGGCCTGCTGGAGAAAGCGACGGTGGTCAATGGCGGGGAGAAGCCTGGGGATGCGGAGAAGGAAGGAGCCGAAGCAGGGGCGGGGAAGGAGGAAGGAGGAGGAGAGCAGGGGGGCAGAGGAGGGGCAGGAGAGGGCCAAGGCGACAAATCGACGAGAGTCAGCAAGGTAGTTGCACCGATAGCTCTACCTCCCAAGTACCAGAAGTACGAGGAGGTCGTCACAAAGTTCTGCCAGGACGGAGTTTGCCGGCCCAACATCGCCCTGACGGCGGAGCAGGTGGAGATGTGCAGGGAGGCTGTGTCGAACTACTACAACCGAGTCAAGTACACCATCCAGACGCTGCAGCTCAACGACAAGCTGGAGCAGCAGGGCTTTGCTGAGTTCAAACTGAGGTGCGCCGGTAGGTACGACATGCAGGTCCCGGAGCTGGAGACCGAGGCCTTCAAGTTCCTGCGGGAGGACGCGCCATGGCTGGAGAGCGTGCACGCGATCTTGGGAGAGGACTGCAAACTGACCGTGATCGGCTGCATGCTGTCTCAGCCCGGCTCGCAGACGCAGCAGTGGCACTCGGATGGAGATCACTTGAGCGAGCACGAGCACCTTCCCCCGTACGCCGTCAACATCTTCGTCCCTCTGGTGGACATGAACTCAGCGCTCGGGCCCACCGAGTTCGTGCCGACGACCCACCTGCTGTTCAACTACGAGCCGATCACTAGCATCACCCCCATCACCATCTGCACCCCAGCAGGAGAGTGCCTCTTCTTCGACTACAGGATCAAGCACAGAGGCCTCGGCAACCGAGGTCACTACGCGCGCCCCATGCTCTACATCACCTACGGGACCAAGGCATGGGCGGACAAGGCAAACTTCAGCAAGAAACGCTACGCCAAGCTCCCTCCCCTCCTCAATCAAAGGCCTCCCCGCAGCCAGCTGCCCGTGGACAGGGAGGACCGCATGAAGTTGCTAGAGGCCACAACAAGCCCGGACAAGAAGGGGGGAAAGAAGCGGACGATGAAGGCTGACGGGGAGGAGGGAGAGAAACCCCAAGAGGAGTCTAAGGATGGAGACTCTCAGAAGGCAGCTGAGAAACCCCAAGAGGAGGGTAACGAGGGAGACAAGGCAGCTGCTCCCCCCAAGGACAGCCAGAGGTCGGCAAAGCGACAGGCTAAGAGCACAGTGACCAAGATGAAGAGCGAGCCCAACAATGCCTGAGGATCGACAATGATGACCTTCGAGTCGCCTCCTCATCAAACAGAGTGACAGTGACGTCTGATCACCCGGGCTATCACCGGGTTATTGCAAGACTCTCAGTGTTCCGAATTCAATTAGTATCATCAGACCAGTAAACAACCATGTACATCACTAAGTCGCTCGACTTGACAAAGGAAGTTGGCAAGCCGCTGAGACTGTCTCACTGCCGTCACGCCGATTCACTGCGGTGCCGTACCATGATGGCCCGCTCCGAGTCGGCGATCGGACTCCGGAAGGGCGGCCCGGCCCGTCCCGCCCGGCGGCCCGGCCCCGGCTTCATCGAGTCATCACTAGCCCGGGCGCTTCAGCTGCAGTCATGCGATTCATCGTAGTCACAGGCTCAGGCCTCCCGGATGCCTGCTGACGGTCCCGGGGCCCGCCGGGCCGCGCCGCAGGCTCGCCTCGCCTCAACTCATAAAGGTGACAATCATGGCACCTCGTTGGGCGCTGGTGGCGATGGCGATGGCGATGGCAGACGTCGGGGGAGTCTTGAGCTTCCAGCATGCAGGAGCGATCGGAACGAGGATAGGCACGATGGCGAGACGTGCTGCTGTCTCCCCTCCTTCTCCTCTTCGCCTCGCCATGGTAAGTGGTTGCTTTGCTGTACATATGGAACTTGACCCTGCCGTCCCTGCCCTGCAGAAGGAGCAGGAGGAGAAGCCCGAGGCGAGAGGAAACTTCCTGACTAATTTCATCTACAACCTCGAGATGCTCCGAGTCTCCAAGAGCTCCGAAACCCCCACGGCCGACAACGGCGGGTGGTCCGGGGAGCCCAAGGAGTGGGCGCTGGAGGGGTCGTTTGCGCAGAAGGCATCTGAGATCTCGCAGAAGGGATTCGCTGCCTCCATCAAGCAGTGGATCGCAGAGAGTATCGCAGGGGAGTACGACAAGGAGGCGGTCAACAAGAGGATAGACGAGACCATCGCCCGCAGCCCCGTGGCTATGTTCTCCTTCAGCAAGTGCCCCTTCTGCCTCCGCAGCAAGGAGCTCCTCCTCAACGAGATCGGCATCGACAAGTCGAACATCAAGGTACTACCGGCTCGTGCTCGTGCTCGTGCTCGTGCTCCTCGTCCTCGTCCTCCTTCTCCTCATCGTCGTCCTCTTGCTCCTCGTCCTCGTCCTTCTCTTTCTCGTCCTTGTCCTCGTCTTCCTCCTCTTCGTCTCCCTCCTCCTCCTCCTTTCGCTGCGCCTGATGCTATTTTCTGAACCTTACATGCTATGGTTGCAACCAGATTATCGAGTGCGACGAAGACCCGCAAGGGAACGCCATTCGTGCCGAGCTCGGGAAGCGAACTGGTCGGACCTCGATGCCATCGGTAGCACTGTAGGTGGAGAAGCGCGTGTCTGACGGCTGCAGATCTGGATAAGGGAACAAGGCTTCGTTGGAGGATGCAATGATGGTCCAGGTGCGATCAGGGATGCTGCTGCTGCTGCTGCTGCTGCTGCTGCTGCTGCTGCTGCTGCTGCTGCTGCTGCTGCTGCTGCTGCTGCTGCTGCTGCTGCTGCTGCTGCTGCTGCTGCTGCTGCTGCTGCTGCTGCTGCTGCTGCTGCTGCTGCTGCTGATGATGATGATGATGATGATGATGATGATGATGATGGAGATGACGATGATGGTGATGAGGAAGAAGGGAATGGGGAATTGGAAGGAGGAGGAAGAGGAGGTGTATGTTGACAGGTCCTCAGGTATCGTGCCGCTCCACAAGGAGGGAAAGCTTCGAGGCATGCTAGAGGCAGCGAAGGCGTTGTAGTGTATGAGAGAAGAGTAAAGAGTCTTCCTTGTTGTAGGATGCGGAAGGAACGAGGTGGAGGAGGTAGGTAGTAGAGGGGTTGAAAGTGATACTTTTGAGAGATAGACCAAAGTTGGGGCAGAAGGGGGCAGGCAGTAGCAGAGGGAGGGAGGTCAAGAAGGGGAAACGCGGAGGGGAGGGGAGGAGGATGAGCAGGAGGAGGAGTTTTTGGGAGGAGGAGGAGGAGGAGGAAGAGGAGGAGGAGGAGGTTGTCAGATCTTTATCACAACGTCAGCAAGCAGCATTATAACGTGTGATACTGCGACATCAAGAGACTTCTGACAGCCGCATACTCCGTGCAGATAGTTCCTTCAAAGATCATCCTGCTGTGATGTGAGAAATCATGGAGGAGCGAGGAGAAGGCGAGGGAGGGACCGAATCTGCAGGAGCAGGAGCAGGAGCAGGAGCAGGAGCAGGAGCAGGAGCAGGAGCAGGAGCAGGAGCAGGAGCAGGAGCAGGAGCAGGAGCAGGAGCAGGAGCAGGAAGGAAGGGCAGGAGCAGCAGGAGGAAGCATGGAGCAGGAGCAGAAGCAGAAGCAGGAGCAGGAGCAGGAGCAGGAGCAAGAGCAAGAGCAGGAGCAAGAAGGAGCAGGAGCAGGAGCAGGAGCAGGAGCAGGAGGGTGGAGTAGAAGGGGTTAGAGAAACGGGGGGCAAGACAAGGAGGACATCAAGTACACAGAAGGCAAAGACGTGGACGAAAAGGAAAGAGAAGGAGGAGGAAGGGCAAGAGGGTTAGTAGACCTGGAGCCCGATTTGCGGATGATGATGGACCCGTTTACGACGAGCATTCCTGGGGGGTAGTGAGTGAGCAAATGAGAACAGGGGCGAGGAGAAAGGATAAGTGCGACATCAGCGGCAGAGGAGGAGGCGAAGTGGTGATGTTGGCAGGAAGGGAGGGATCGAGTGAACGAATGAGGAAGATAGAAGAGGAAGGGTCGAAGACAGGAGCATCAGGATGGAGGAGAGCCGACTATGGTAGAGATTGAAGAGGAGGAGGGAGGAGGAGAGAGGAGGGAGGACGACGGCTCACCGGCTTTTAGCTCCGTCTTGTATTTTTGCTTCTCAAGCAGAACCTTGAGGTCACTGAGCTTGACGTCTCCGATGAAGGCAAATGGTTTTCTTCCTCCCCCCTGCGTTTCACCGTCAGGGTAACGAAAGAAAAGAGGAGAGAAAGGAGAGAGGAGAGGGGTAAGCTGAGGGAGCAAAGGAAAGGTATCGGGATGAGTGTTAACGAGGCGGGAGAAGAGGAGAGGATGAAGTTGAGGAGGGGAGGGAGGAGGGAGGGAAGTAGGAGAGCATTACGTCCTCCTGTTGCCTCGGCACGAGCGTTGGCATCTGCTTGTCCTTGTTCTGACCGACGGGCAGGGTCGACGAGTTGTCGACTGAGTTCTCGTCGGGGCAGGTGATGCTGGCGTCGATGTACGCAACGTCGTATCCTCCCACCCGAACGAACTGCAGGCCCTGGGCCAGGGCCTTGTCGAGCTTGATCTTGTAGATGTTGGTGTCCGAGGACGCCATGACCGCCTCTCCTACAGGAGGAGCGAACGTGTTCTCAGGCTCCGTCACCTTGCGGATGCAGAAGTTCTGCAGCTCCTCCGTGGCCTTCTCGCTCCCATGGATCACAATCACCTTGGCCGGCTTTAAGTGCTCCAGGATTGTGTGGACGGAGCTGCTGTCCGACCGGCCCCCGTAGTCCAGGAAGGCCATACCGCAATTGAGCTGGGTCCTGATGGTGTAGGTGAGCGACTTGGTCGGGATGGCGGCGGCGGCATGCAGTTGGTGAGCGACAGGGCGCAACTCTGAGGTGGCGCTGCCGCTGTAGGAGATGGTCTCCTCGACGAAACCTTGTACCTCTTCCTGCTGATCCTCCTTAAGGTAGATGGACGTGTCCATCACCTCCCCGTACTCGTCGAAGGAGTAGATCTCCTCGTGGTGGGGGAACATAAGGAACCTGCTCTCCCCTCCCCTTCCCTTCTTGTGCCTCTTGTTCGGAGTTGACCCGCTCCAGTCTGCGCCCTTCCCTGCCCGCGGGGTCGATGCCTTCTTGCCTACCTCCTCCCCTTCTTTCGCTTCGCCCACTGCGCCAGCATTCTCCTCCTCTTCCTCTTCCTCCTCCTCCGCCTCCTCCGCCTCCTCCTCCAGCTGCCGACGAGCCTCCAACGCCTTCAGCCTCTCCTGCTCCTCGTGCTCCCTCAGCTCTCTTCCCTCCAGGGGGACGCGTCGGTGCATCTGCAGCATCAGGTTGGAAGGGAGAGGCAGCCCGCTGCCCATAAGGTCTTGGAACTGACGAGCACGCGACCCGGGCCTTGCTTTCTGCGTGAGGAGGACGAGATTCTTGGAGTCAGGAGCCCACTCAGCAAAGAGGTCCAGACTGAAGCTGCTGGTCTCCAGGTCAAGGCCGGACGCGAGGACCACCTGAGGGTAGGGCAGCCTTCCCAGCTCCTCCCTGGAGCAGCAGCGGTGAACGTTCTCGAGGTGGAAGACGTTGTGCCTGCTCTGGATGAAGCGCTGGTTCACGTGCTTGCTCAGCCACTCGGTCTGGCTCATTGCCATGTCGATGATGGAGCGGCTCTCCGGGCTCAAGAACGCCAGGGTGACGCCTCGAAGGTGTGGGTTCTGCTGCCATAGCTCGTCGAGGACGATGAGGAGCTCAAGGACCCTCCCAGTGCTGTCCACGGGGATCAAAACGTTCCCATCCTGTCTGATAGCTGACATTACGTGCTCGATCAGCCGCTGCTCTCGAGCCTTCTTCCCTCCCAGGGTGTTCTTGTCGAGGGCGGTATAGGCGTCGGTGATGAGAATGTTGGGGCGGGGCAAGTCGACGAGGACAGTACCGTCCAGGTGACGATCCTGCGCATGATTGTAGTCAACTGCATACACGATCTCCTCCGACTCCTTGGTTATTTTCCACAGAGCTCCTCCTATCATGTGGCCAGCGTTGAGAGGAGAAATGGTAATCCCCTCGGCCTTCCCGCTCAGCGAGCAAGATTGCTGATAGCGAAGAACAACGAAGTTGTCCCATGCCATGTCTATGTCTGCCAAGGTAAACTGCTTGAAATCCTCCTTGGCCATCCTCGACTCCACCATGTCGTACATAGTCAGCTGCCCCATCTTCTGCACCGGGATCGTCGCGTACACCTTGGCCTTGACGTTGCAGTTGCGGATGATGTAGGGGAGAGCGCCGAGATGCCCGAGGTCGCAGTGCGTCAGCAAGATAGCGTCAAGAGTCGGAGCAATCTTGATGAGCTTCCTCAGGGATACAACGTCGAAGTTCTCGTCCCACCCGCAATCAAGGAGGATGCACGCCTCGTCAATCTCTAACAGGTAGCACAGGGGCTCTTCCGACCTTGCGCCACATAGCGGGGTGAACTTCACGAGAGAGCTCATGGCTGCTCAGCTCTAAGGACACACCACAAGCTCCACCGCAGCTCCTCTCCCTTCAAGCTCTTCTCCTGCCCTCACCAAAGCAACCCTGAACCTCCTGCTTCTTCCATTCGATCACTGATGACGTCCCATGACTTCCACACTTTTGGCTGACCAGCTTGGAAGGCTGCAGCAGTCAAATATGTCAGTTTGCAATCCAACTAATTTTCGTGTTCGAACATTCAGAGAAGGAAAGGGAGTTCGGTAAAATCCTAACAAACCTTCACTTGAAACACTATTAATCAGCAACAGCTCTCTTACGAAAGACCCCATCATGAACTTTGTCTCAACTGAATGAAATTATCTCTACAATACTATCCTCTGGCCCCTCAAGCTTGATATTCATCAACCTCACACTATTCTCGAAGGATCATATGCTAGTTGTCTACTAAAAGAGCCGCCTGTTTGTCTCAACAAGCTTGATCTGATTCCGATGTGAGTGACCCACATCAATGCCTGCCAGACCTTTTGATCTCTTCTCCTCTCTTTCTTGCTTCGGATTTATCGATTCATCTGTGTCTTACCCACTCACAGACCCTGCTCTTGCTCCTGGACCCTATCTCGCTCTTCCCAACACAATGTGTGCATCAATGCACATAGGAGCATGGCGCGCCAGCAGGGCTCATGATCACAAACTTCATCAAAATCTCAAACACGAATTGATCTTCTTCCATGTTGCAGCATCATGCGTTCTCATCCCGCTTTTCCTCTATCTCCACGCCATCGCTTACCTCATGCCGCCGAAAACCGTTTATATCGTTACATACCGTTGAATATCGTTATGTCATTTTTCCCGGGTCCCTTGGTTGCCGGATGGCCGGTGGTTCCGCAACTGGACGCATCTAGCAGTCCATGCAAGGAGGGGACGCCATGGAGGAGGAGGAGGCGCAGGGAGACCTGAGGAGACCAGGGAGAAGAAGAGAGGAAGGGGATCAGAACGAGAGTCCGCACGTCTTCGACTACATGCATGAGGTTGCGCTCGTTGTGCGATCGTGCTTCGGGCTAGTTACATGGAACTTCTGCAGATCAAGACCGGAGAAGGGAGGTTTGCCGCCCATGCTACTCGGTCGACGTCGGGGGAGGAGGCGAGGCTTTCGAACGATGCAACATGGGGGCTGCTGACGCGCGTCACAGGATCAAAGGCCCGTGCTCTTCATGCTCCATGGGGCTGGTCAGTCATCATGGAGCTGGAGCCGACTGGGCAAGGAGCTCCGTCAGAAATGTGAGTTGCTAGCGCTGGATCTCCACGGACATGGCGAGACGAATGTTCCTTGGCAACCGTCATCCAGGTGCATGCATGTTCCCTCCTCGTTAGGCCGAGGTGATCGATTGCTAACTTTAACCGCAAGCTTGCAAGCGACGGCGAAAGATATCGCAGAGGCTCTGAACCGCTCTCATGGAGGAGGCAGGAGCTGCCCAGTAGTGCTCGTAGGCCACAGCCTAGGTGGAGCTATTGCTGTCGAGATCGCCCAAAAGGTGACACGGTTGTGAGGTGGGATCCACTGGTTGGGTGACCTGACAACCAGGAACTTATACACAATCTGAAAGCGATCGTAATTATAGAAACCTCAGAGGGATTGGTGAAAGACAGCATGTCGAGAGCAAGGCAGTTCTTGGGTGATCGTATCTCTGGACTTTCTGACGGATTCTCATCTCTGCGACGGTAGACAGGAGGCCGACTCGGTTTGGCAGCGTAGACGAGGCGGTGAACTGGGCTATTGATTCAGGTACGGAGACCTGATGGAGATGGAAAGCTGACTTCGAGAAGAAATCTACAAGAGTAGAGAGGCTGCAGAATCATCTGTCCCGAGGATGTTGGTTGAGGATGGTGATGGTATATCATCAGAAATGTTTCCTTTCCACTTGCCTGATCTCCGAGCCCTGCAGGGTGGGTTTGGAAAACCAACCTTTCGGAGAAGTTAGAAGATGCGAGCAAATGGTTTGAAGGGGCTTCAAACAACTTTATCAAATTGTGATAGAGAACCGCGGATGAGAGTCGGAGCTGACAGTGTGCAGGAAATGTCATAAGTTGGTGATTGTCTGTGCCAAGGAGAGTCTAGACTGCAACCTCATGGTAGGGAGCATGCAAGGGCTTTTTCAGGTGAATCGTTGCAGGAGTTTGAGCAGCATTCAATAATGGAAAAGCTCACTGAGATCAACCAGGCGGAGATTATTCCCGGCGGTCATATGATACACGAAGAAAGGTGCGGCCTGTGATTGCGTTTGCAACAGTCTTGCTCAACAGTGTATGAGCAGACCAAAGGATGTAGCAAAGCTTATCATCAACTTCCTGAGCCGATGGAAGCTTTTAACGCCTGTGCAAGGCAAGCCGACCTCGCCTTAACGCACCGACGGGGAATAATAAGAATTCAAAGCCGCAAGAGGCTACCAGTCCGAGTCAAGAAGCTTGTGTACTTTAGACGTTGTCTTGCTTGTCTTCAATCCTCGATCCAAGTATGTGTTGATCTGATGAGTGTCAATAAAGGGCATTCGTGATAGACGAGAGAACTCACTGCAAGCCCTTTCCCGGGCTCGTTGACAATGAATTCATCTGTGAATTCGCCTGGAACGGACAATGCATGAGCGGCGTACTCAGCAAGTGAAGGCGCATGTCCGGTCACCTTGTCTGCCCCTCCACTTATTAGGCATGTCAGCTACTCGAGGGGCTTTCCCCCCAATCTCGTGTGAAGTTGTTGTATAACATGGGTGCTGAGACAACGGTCAGAGGGAAAGATCATTGCCCGGGTAGGTTTCACACCTGTGACTTTGCCTTGTGTGCAAATGCGCTGCATTACAAAAATCAGAGTCAACGATAACGAAATGGAAGAAAGTGTGGCAGCGACATGCCTTGCATCTCTGAATCTCTCTGGTAACACATTGCTGTTACCAAATGGATCCACAAAGACTTGTGTGTCTTGCTGGTCCTTGCTAGCAAACGAGCTCCATGTCTTGAACTCATCGAAAGTGATGTACTCAGCGTCCAGCTTCATCATCTCGTTTACAACGTTTGCTTCGTCAATTTCAACAATCCCCATCTGCACATGGGGAGAATGGCTGAGCAACATGGTGAAGCAGAAAAATGGATATAACACCTTTCGGACTTCAGCTACGTACAGGACGAGATCATCGAGATTCAGCTTTCCGTCTCTGTCCTTGTCAAAAATACTGCAAACAGAAGTTTACGATCTCTGAGTTGTCCTCCTAATAGGCTAAAACGTGTTCATGTGGAACAATCTATCTATCAGTATGGAGTATCCAAGAGGAACAGATTCATCAACTTGAGACTATGTCGTAATACATGACAATTCAAACATCGTTTCATCGTGTTGGTGGTGTAGTCCCTCCAATATTGATTTCCTTGATAACGGAAAACCTCCCTCGTGACCAGCTGATTTTGCTTGTCCTCCTGTCCTCCTGTCCTCCTGTCCTCCTGTCCTCCTGTCCTCCTGTCTTACCCGAAGAGTTTCCGCAGGCATCGCCATGATGAATCTTCCTCCGACATTTTTCAACGGATTCTCAACCGCCTCTGACAGTCACCTAGATTAGCAACCCTACCCCCAACTCCAATCTACCACCCACCCCACCCCATACCACCCCACACTACCCCGCCATATACCCATTGTTCAGCCTTTATATTGCATCCCCTCTTTCTGGGCTACCCCTTCGTCCTTTTGTACCCCACCCTAGTCTTCCCATATGAGCCAGCCTGTTGGTAGTGGGGGGTGGGGGCGGAGGGGTTCTGGAAGGGCTCACTGGGCTCAAAATAGCGCTAGAGGTGAAAACGGCGCAGCGGGTGAAGGATGCGGGTGAAGGATGCTGACATTGGAGCAAGTGGGAGAGGGAGAGTGGAGGACAGGACAGGTGATGAGAAGCAGCGGCGTCTGCATGTGAAAGACGGCTGTAGTTTGAAGGGTAGGCCAGTGGTAGTTCATTGCATGCCATGATATTACGCTGTTCATGGGATATCGGCTCACTAGGCAGTTTTGGAGGAGGATGCACAGAAAAAGAGTGTCACATATAATGTTTAAAAGACAAGTCCATTGACATCTTCGCATGACATTGCCGATGTGTAGGACTGATGTGAAGGAGTACAATTTTTGCCTGAGTAGTTTGTGGCGTTTCTGCAATTACGGAGAAATTGGATCTTGACACAGTAATCGATCATTGAAAGAGCTTCACTCAACCTGGCGCTGATTGATGATATGGCCATAACAATTTTGCAAGTTTTGGGCCAGTAACCTGACTTGGGTGCCAAATGGTACCGTGATAGACCTATCCTTCGAGCCCTCACATCATATCCTCCGTATTTGAAATCGGACTGACGAGCTACTCGCAGATGTTTAGCACCATCCAGAAGTACTCGGAACTTCGCCAATCTCAGTTCTCCATGCTTGACGGCTACTCATTGACTGACGCAGATGTTCAGAAGTCTGCTCAGGACTGGGTAGATGAGATCTACCCTGCATGTGGCGATGCAGCCAGCATGGCGGGCTGCATTCCCGCTGACAAGCAGCCGTGGGCCTGGTGATTGATCGATCACTCGGCGACTCGGATCTTGATCAACCTGCCTCAGTTCAAGGTGGACTCCCTGGCGGTGCCACTTCATCGTGATGATTAGTTCGTCTAGAGTCAAGCTCGGGTGCCGCGCTAAATTACTAAAGACAAGTTGGCGAATTGTTGTTCATCTGAGTGTTTCACTTCGAGTCAGTCAGATCGCCACTTCGAAGTCAAGTTCGTTCGAACTTCGAGTCAGTGGAAGTTCGCTCCGACGACTCAGCGAGTCACGGTCGAAGTTCGCTCGGCTCCGAGTCAGTCGACTGAGTTCGCTCTACTCAGCCTGGCAGTGAACCGCCGCTAGCCTGACTTGAAACTCCCGAAGTTCACAGGCTTTAAGTTCAGAGTCGGAGGGGAGTCACACTGTACTAGTGACTGAACAGGCTACTACGGTCACAATAAAGATGCCTCGGATCATATACCGCCCGGCCGGGCCCCACCGTCACGGTGGCATCAAAGGGCCCGGCCTGTAAACCAAGAAGTTACCGCCGTGTTTCAAGGCGGCCATGTAGCATGTCACAGTCACCCGGGACGCCGGAAGCAGGGGGCCGCTTTCTACCGTGAGCCGCTCAGAGTCGGAGCTGTCGGACGGTCACCGGGTCTTGCCGCGCTAGGGCGCGGCCGGCGCCCCTCTGCCGCGCGGCGGCTGCCCGACCGCTGAGCTAACAGAGTGTACTGTACGGTACACCAAGTTGCCGCGCGGCGTGGGGCGCGGCAGTCCCCCGGCTGACTGCCGCGCACTCCGCAGTTTGCCCCGGGCCGCGAGCGGCCGGGAGGTCCGTCCAATACTAAGCACTCAGTCACTGCCAGTAGTACTACCGTAACTTTCATGACACAGCTCGTGGCCCGGCGCCCGTGACTCGAATCGTCTGGCGGCATCCGGAGCCTTCGAGCGGCTTCGAGTCACGGCGACCGTCTGCGGGTCTTTGTATTAGCTTTGAAGGCGGACCGTCACGGCATAATTGGTCACGGGGTTCAATTCGATCCGTAAGTACCATGAAGTTTTAGTTACTTGACTCCGGCGACAGAGTCTGTATCTGAAGCAACGTGACGCGCAACGAGTTAGCCGGTCAAGTGGTGGAGCGAGGGGGCTAGGAGGGGTACGGTACTGAGACTAGAGTCAAGCACGGGTGTGATATCAGACTGCTGGGCTCGGCAGGCAGGAGTTAAAAGGTCACGATGGTGGCGAGAGGAACTTCCCCCTCAATAGCTCATTTCGTGATGTACATATGAAAAAGAGTGGTTTCCACTAACGACCACCTCAACAGGCTAAAAGAATATTGTAAAATCGGTTCTAAAGAGGTTAGTCCCTTAAAATGGATCCTATAATATTATAAAGTGTTTCCGCAAAGTGTCACGGATGCAGGCTATAGATGGAACCGGGTACTACTACGGTACACTGTCAGCGATTTCCTGGCTAAAATTTTAGCTGTTGGAGGTGATCAAAAACGTTTTTAAAACTGGCAGGTAGAATCAGCAACATCACCCTACCCCAAATACTGTTTTGCCTGTTTCTTGTCACCGGTACTTCTCAATATGGAAAGTACGGGTACAGCTTGGCACACCTACCCCACACACCTTTAACCTCTTCTGTTCCGTGATAAAACTCCGAGTTTTAAACCACTCCCACCCACCCTGTCTCAATGAGATTTCCACCACCTCCTGTGTTGCCTCCAAAAGACAACTGCAAGGCTAGCATCCTCAGTTCTTTATGGTACCCACCTTTACATCACTAAATTGATAGTAATATGACCCGTACTTTCCCTAACGCTAGTGAAGTATGAGGGGTGCAGCAATGATTTATCAACTACCCCACCCTCGAAATGGATTTCATGTGGACCCCACCCATCTCACAATCTTCCCCGATAAACCTTCCTGTCGACAAGCTCTCCTCACGCGATCCTGTGGCCACGCCATCTGCAGCACGCAAACAAGTGGCTCCTCCCAGTCATCCTTCTTGCTCGACGTCTCTTCGACACCTCGCTGCTCTTTAGCTTCAGTATCGCAGTTCGCAGGACGTGAAAAGGTCATCGTACACTTGCCTGCTCGAGTTCCGAATTCGCCACAGTATTACACCAACGGAAGTTTGCAATGTGTTCTGCAATGTCGATTCAGGTCCAAGACTTTTGCTTCATGTCCATAGATGCTTCTTTGGACTCTAAGCAGGATGAGTCTGACGGAATGAACTATGGCATCTTCTTCTTGGGAAGCGACTCCAGGAGCAACTATGATGGACATACTTCGAAGAATCAAACCTCACCAATGCTCCACGAGAAGACTTCTGGAAAGGTTGATCATAGCTCGGAGTCTCATGTGACCATCTCTCTATGTGAGGATATTTCCAATTTGCATGTGTCGTCATGCGCCGCACCCGAGCATTTCTTGACTTACAGTGCGAAATACTCCAAATATCGTCCATTTAGGATTCAATCCAGTGGAACTAAGGGAATTTTGCTTGGCAACGTCAGAAAGGCACTGGAAAAAACTGTTGCCTCAAAGAGAAGTTCCGTGGTGAAGGGAGGCAAACATGTTCACTAGAAAACTACATGACCTTCATTGTGATTCTCTGCCTTCCCATTTTTTCCTCCTTTCACACATGTATATGTATCTGTCCTGTACAACTGAATTCAATAAATTGACAATTTGCTCTATATGTTCTTGATTTTTTGGATTCCACAATGGATGGGATGGGGAGGAAATTGGTGACTCCGAGTCTCAGTGTAAGTCGACCTTCGTCCGACTGGCCGCCGGGCACCGTGCCACCGTGACGACGGGTCACCAGGTAGCAAAGATACTCAGCCTGCCAGCAGTGACTTGAGTCTCGCCTTGCCGCGCATTGCCACCGTGACAACCAGTGCGTACCATCACTCAGTGCCAGTGAGTCAGAAGGCTCTCATCGGACTTGATCCGGGGGCCGGGGGGGCGGCGGCGAAATTCGACACGCATCCGACGCCGCCGGACCGTCGGATGAGGAACGACTCCGGGTCCCCCGGCCCGGTGCCGCCGAGTCCGGCGCCGGCCCCCGGGCGAGCGGCCGACGGCCCGCCCCGGCCGGCCGGGCCGCCCCGGGCCCGGGCCGTTGACAGCAAGTTTAATGTTAAACTTGAACAAATTTCTTATTGTTTTTACTAATTTGGCCTAAAACGAGGGCACGAGTACTTACATTCCCCTCATGATCGAAGCCATGAGAGATCTTTAGTTACTGAAATTCTTGGGTAGTATAGAAAACAAGGAGGGGTTGTCTTTAGTTCCCTACACGGGGGTGGATTCACAATGTTTTTGTTTCGATCAGACGCAATTTCTTCTCGATATGGTTTTGAGAGGACTGAGGGAAGACAGAAAGCCGCGATGAGGTAGAGATGGTAGAGATGGTAGAGATGGTAGAGATGGTAGAGATGGTAGAGATGGTAGATGAGGTAGAGTAGGTAGATGAGGTAGAGTAGGTAGAGACAAGAGGGAGAAGAGTGAGAAGAGGGAGAGGAGAGGGAGAGGAGGGAGAGAGACACGGATGGAGTAGAGAGAAAATCTGAGGGAGGAAACATCCAGGGAGATTGAGCACAAGGCGAGTCAATAATAAGGATGAAGAATATCACGAAAGGAAGAAGCCCTCCACGGAGAGGGACTGCGCGATATGAGCGATGGGGAAGGGAAGGTCACTGGGTAGAGATGCGACGGAGAGGGAGGGAGTGGGAGAGGAGGGGTTGGATGAGCGAGGAGACAAAGATGACGAGAAACCAAGGGAAGGGATGAGAGGAAGGTTGGGAGGAGCAGAGTAGTCTCATAGAGACGGGGCGCAAGAAAAGGGGGGAGAGGGCAGGGACCTTGAGGGTGGAATTACTGATACCTCGATGCAGATTTGGAGATTTTCATTCCTTGATGGGGAAGAATTGAATCCGACTCTCCGATAGAACCGAGGACCTGAGCTGCTCTGTCGAACGCAAGTAGGCCAAGTCTATCGTAGGCTGATCGAGCATGGACGGCTCTAAGGCCCTGAACTACAACGTGGAGTGGATCAACGATCGGGGGACATGGTGGTTCTACCTGCTCATGCTGGGGCTGTCGCGCTGGTGCTGCTTCCTGCTGGGAGTCAACGAAGAGTGGGCCTGGTCCTTCGTCCTGATCAGCCACTCTATCATTACGTGAGGCCGAGCATGCATGGATCGCGCTGACTGAGCTGAAGGTTCTGGCTGGTGCATTGGAAGACTGGCTCGCTGCTGACATGGGAGGACGACTCGGGCAAGTATGATGGGATGACCTACTGGGAGCAGATCGACGATGGCGTCGAGAACACAGGAAACCGCAAGTTCCTGCGCATCGTTCCTCTAGTCCTGTGAGTGAGGAGGAGGGAGGGAGGAGTGGAGGGCAGCTAGTGGAAACAAGGAAGGAGAGGAGAGGAGGTGCTTGAGGAGGGAGGAGGGTTCATTCGCATCCTCCGCAGGTTCCTGCTGGCATACAGGTACTCGACTGGGTGGTTGACCTATGTCAACCTGTCGTTCACGCTGCTGGTGCTCGTGCCCAAGATTCGCTCCTTCCGGCAGCGAGCAAAGAGAAGGTGTGCTGCTGTCGTGTCGTTGCTGTGATGGCGCCTGAGGGATGCCTTAGCTCCGGGAGCTTCGAAGGAATCATCAAGCAAGCTGGTTTCCGCAGCACAAAGAGGTCAAGAAGATGAAGAGCAATGGTGTGGTCGATGACTGTTCTTCACAGCAATCACAAGCGCGGGTCGAGCTGGGGGGGAGATAAGTGCGAGTAAGTAGCGCCTGTGTTAGGAGAAGCAGGAGCAAGAGCAGGAAGAGCAAGAGGAAGAAGAAGATTTGGTGATTGAGTGTGACATCAATTGATTGTTTATGCTATCGTGAAGTAAGGTTAAAATATCTCCTGAAGGAGCAGCTGTTGACTTTGACTAAGTTAAAACTATCTAACAGTAACTGTACACAACAAGTTTAGAAGGAGGGGCGAGCAACAAAGAAGATTTCTCCTCCAAAGTTGTTGCCCTCTACGTTCCTCCCATCGTTGTTTCGTCCCGCTCTTATTGCAAGATTTCCCCCACTGCCCATCTGCTGCTTGTTACCTCCTTTGAATCCCAAGGGCTAGTGCAGCAGTCAGCATGACTGCCCCCACCTTTCTACCTCGTACCTGCCCTCGGATGCGCTGATCTACCTGAGCCTGCCAGGTTTCAGTGAGGAGAGCAGATGTAGATAAAGCGGATCCCGGATGATGGAGGAGGAAGAGGAGGAGGAGGAGGAGATAACGGGGAAGCAAGGATCAGATGGCACGAGAGCTGTATGTGCTGTTCTAGAGAAGGAGTAGACCACGACGACGAGTAGACAAAGAGGACGGGAGGGAGGAGGAAGAAGAACAAAAATGCAGCGAAGATTGAAAATCCACCTCCTTGTTCGATGAGCTGCTGCTGAAGTGATGCGGGGCTACTGACCGATCGAAGTGCTGATTAATAGCAAACCCCTTCCCCACATGTCACCAGGGCCTCCTCCTCCTCCTCCTCCTCCTCCTCCTCGAACTTACCTGCAGCTGAAGTCCCGAGCTGCCCAGCCCAAACTTGGACGCATCACGAGGAAGGGTATCTTTGTCCGGCGGGGGAGCGAGACTTGACACTCGGCTGAAGATCCTCTTTTCTTCTGCGTTTCCTCTCACGTCATCTTTGTTAGAACTTGCGTTGTGCGCGGGAGCATGCGCGAGCTGCAGTTTTTTCCCTCTGTTGCTGTTGTTCATGTACAAGGGTTGCTGTGTGGGTGGGGGGATGAATCCGGGCGGGTTCTGAGAACTCAGCGATTAAACGGGGAGAGCGAGGAAGAGAAGGGAAAATGGACGGGAGAGGAAGAGAGGAATCGAGGGGAAAGGAGCTGGAGTGGGAAGAGGGAGGGAGGACCTCGTCTTGCTGCTTGCTCGGCTTATGAGGTATGATCCTGAAGCCTGTCACCCTGGAAGGAGGCTTGCCCGACGGCCTCCGGTTCCTGGCCTGCGAGTAGTCCGGCGAGGAGGTCGGGCGGGCATGCGGCGGGTCTTCGCCATTCTTCGCGCCCTCGCCTGCATTTTCCAACTGGATATGCTGCTGGAGCCATCCAGTGAGGTCGTCGACGGCGGTGAAGGCCAGCGGCATCCCTCCCTAAGCAAGCCCAGTCACGTCAAGAGAGGTCGAGGGGCCAGGACGAGTCTTACCCCGTGGTGACTGACGTCCTCCGGCGAGTCTCGCTCCGAGTCTCTGCTGCTCCTCAGCTCGTCGAGCTCAGAGTCCCAGGACGTCACGATGTCGCTCGGTCTCATCGTCTTGCTCTTGGAAGTGCCCCAGAGAGGTCCCCGCAACGGGCCCTGCGGCAGCCGCATGACTGTGTGTGAGCAGAGAGGCTGCTCTCCTCACCTCCTGGATCGCCGGCGCCAAGAAGTCCAGCAGCTCCGTTGAGCTTCGATTCTGTGAAAAGGTCAGCAGTGCTCCACCCTCCCAGCAGCATCCTCCCAGCAGCACCCTCCCAGCAGCATCCCTCCATTCTCCCAGGTTCTCTCCATCACCTGGCCCTTGGGACTGCCAGACGTCGAAGGGGTGGAAGGAGCGGAGGTAGGACGCATGTCCCGATGAAAGGGCTGGATCCCTTGCCCCGACCTTGCGTCCTGCGAGGCCGCAAAATGCGGCTGATCGTTGGGGTTCTGCAATGAAGCCGTTCACGATGAGGGCTGGATGAGTCGAAGCGAATTCTTACGAGTTTAGCGTTGGGCGATGGGTGGGGAGTACCGCCATACAGCGTTCGGAACTTTCCAGTGACGAATCCGTTGTTGGTGGCCCAGTCCCACCAGATAGGCTGGAAATCTTTTAGAAGGTGTACACGCAACTTGAGCGAGTTCAGCCACCTGGTGGCTGTTCCGCCGCTTGTCTTCACCGTTGGATTTCCCGAAATGATCCGCAACCATGGTCTTGGCGCTGGTCTCCGCCTACCAGGCAGTCAGCGAGCGACAAGGCTCAGTTTGCTTCCTCACCTGACTCTTTGCCGAGGATTCTGTTGTTGTCCCCGTGTGGTTGACAAGCTGACTCATCATCTGCTCTGTCGACGGTCGCTCCGTTGGATTCTGCGCAGGGAGGGTCAGCCAACATGCACAGCAGACGACGATTCTGACTTGTCTCAAGCACGACCCCAGCAGGTCTTGAACAAACGCGCTGTAACGGCTCGGCAACGGCGCATACTCCCCCATAAGAATCTTCTTGATCACTGCCCCGTGGTTGCCAGCATGGAAGGGAAGCCTCCCTTGGGAGCAGATCTCGTACAGCAAAACTCCACACGCCCATACGTCAGACTTGGCGTCGTAGGGTTGACCATTGCAAAGCTCAGGCGACAGGTACAGCGGGGTTCCTACCACAGAGACTGCCATTGGCTGAGCTGTGTTGAGCCTCTTTGCTACCCCAAAGTCTCCGAGCTAACATGTGGGATCAGGACAGGAAAGGGAGGCAGAGGAGGGAGGAGGGGAAGGAGGCAGGAAGGGGATGCAAGGAAGGAGGGAGAGTGAGACAGGTGCAAGCTGGGATTGAGAGCGGGTGCGAGATGATACTAACTTTTGGTATGTGTTGCTCGCCGATGAAGATGTTGTCAGACTTGAGATCTCTGTGCAAGATCTTCTTTTGGTGGAGGTATGTGAGGCCCTGGAAAGCCAGGTCAGTCCATCCCTCATGGCAGTCGTCAAGTCACGTTGATGATGTTCTGGAAGATCCACATCGCATTCTCCTCGGGTAGAGCAGCGGGCATCGTGCTCAAGTTTTGTTTCAGAGTTCCGTAGGGCGCGTACTCCATCACCTTGGTGCACAACTGTGACTATGGTGTCATGTTATGTTCAAACTCACAATGTGGAGCATCTCGTCGTCGATGTAATCTTCGTAGAACTTGATGACGTTCGGGTGAGAGAGCGAGGACAACAACCCGGACTCGCTGGATGCAGAGCCGTCAGACTGAGCCTTTGCCAATATGAGCAGGAAAAATACCTGATTGCACTGTCAAGCTCCTCCTGCGCTACAAACGACAGGTCGATCTGTTTGATAACAAAGATATGTCCTTGTTTGTCCTTGATCTTCCTGCAGACTCCACTTGCTCCCCGTCCTAGGACCTCCAAGAACTCGTAGTCGTTTCTTCCCATGCTCAACCTGGCGGCACGCTATCAGGGGGTTTATTCAACGGACGCTTGCCAAGTGGAAGCAGACGGAGGTGCGTATGCACAGCAAACAAGCAAGCAAAGTCATTGAGCGCACATGCCATCAAACTCATTTGAGACCATCGCATGGATGTGGCAGTAGGATTCTTGCAGCTTAATTTCAGACCGCAACGCAGAACAAACGGTTTGTTTGTAAACAGCAACCATTATCATAGCCCACAATCGCACATGAGATCAGTATGAATGGTTCAGATCCCACGATTGACCACAAAATGGTTCATATTTCAAGCAGGGTGTTGCAAACCAATCCAACGAATACTCGCGAACAACAAGACGGAAACAACTCAGATAATACAGCAGACTTACCCCGATATTATCCCGCCTCTCTTGGTCAAGATTGCATGGCAGCAGCAAAGCGTGATGATCTGTTACTATGAACAACTTCGCGTTCAAATCTGCCCATCTCTTGTCCTGCTACTCACCCTCCCCCTTCTCCCTCGTCCTTTCCCTCATACTCCATCCCAGCCATTGTCGTGGGTCCAATGTTATAAATGTAGTTGTAAGTTCTAAAACTTTGGTTGTTGGAATTAAAAATGTTTTTGAAGCTATGATCACAGAGATTTACAACAGAAAACGAACCCATGGCAGTAAAGAAAAAATAAAATACATATATATACAACTGATATCTTGGTACACAGACTTCAAATGTAACTCAAATTTGTACCAAAGTACCGAAATGGATTTATTAAAAAAAAGGTTTGTGCTACTTTAGAATTATATAACTATTTTTACAAACAAGCTTTTTTGTTTCCATGGTGTACAATTTGTGTATTTGGTTCCTGATAGTTTCAAGTTTAGGCGAGTATTTTCGATTTATCAGCTCAACATGTACTCCAAAACTTGCGTACAATCAAAAATAAATCCGGACCCAGAATTTAAAATACATTTTTAATTCTCAGTCCCGTGCTGTGCGGTTCGTGGAGCCGGGCCCGGTAAAGCTTAATTTATATTAAGGTGCATCTTAATTGGAATTTGAGGATTAAGGAGACAGGAGATAAAAAAAATCGCTCGTGCTGGAAGGCCTCGTGCCTCCCCCGCCATGCCGCCCAAGCGATCGGTATCACGCGCGAAGAAGATCAAGAATGTCGCCCTCAAGCGCGTCAAGGTGAGCTTTCTCCTTGCTCTTCTCTTCTTCCCCCTGCGTGTGGCTTGAGCTCCCAGACGAGTTGAGATGTGCGATGTTGGTGAGGGCGAACGGCCGGGTGCGTGATGGCAACGTACCGGCGTTTGGGTCAAATGGCTGAAAGCATGAGAGATCCAGCAGTGGCTTTGATATTGACAGGAAGAAAAAACAATTTGGCAATTTCAGTGGTTCTGAGTTGTTGTTCTGAGTATTCAGTGAGCCAGACATCGTGATTCAAGATGTGACGTTGGTTTGACACATGATTGAAGGACTATGTAAATGTGGAAGATGTCGAATGATTAATAGTTAGTCTGTTGATATTTGCTGTGTAATTCGGGTTTATCTTTATCGAATGGCCTTCCTGGTGTTAGAAAGAGTTTTGTCTTGCAGCTTGTTGGAACAGTTACCAGTAATAGTTCATTTGCCTGTATCGTATGCTAACGTATGTATGCCGTGTTTCCTTTGTGTTCTTTGATGTTCCAGTCTCATCGTCATCTCCTTGACTATATGAAACTCCTGTACCATACCGATATTGATATTTATCTAGATCGGCAAGAAGGCGCATGCCCCCTCTGCGCCTGTTGGACGCAGCGCTTCGTATCACCGCTCCGGCAAGTGGGCTGTGAAGGCCAAGAACGGCGGAAAGTTCCCTGTGCACCCTAAGCAGAAGAAGGAGGAGGAGAAGAAGACTGCTTGCCGTTACTACCCTGCTGAGGACATCCCCCAGCCCTTGAGAAGACGCAACGTCAACAAGGCTGCCAAGCTCAAGGCCAACTATGCTCCTGGAACTATTCTTATTCTTCTCTCCGGACGGTAAGACCTTCTGCCGATTCATTGTTGTTCTCATTCCTTCCTTGCAGCTTCCGCGGAAGACGTGTTGTGTTCCTGAAGCAGCTCGAGAAGTCAGGCCTGCTCCTTGTCACTGGTCCTTACAAGTACAACGGCGTTCCTCTTCGCCGCGTCAACCAGGCCTACTGCATCGCCACCTCTGCTAGCGTGTCTCTCGATGGAGTGAACTTGGACAAGTTCAACGACCAGTACTTCGAGAAGGTCAAGACCGCCAAGCCCAAGAACGCTGATGGATTTTTTGCTACTGATGATGCCAAGAAAGAACTTAGCCCTGAGCGCAAAGCCGACCAGAAAACTGTAGACACTCCGGTGAGATCATGTTGAGACGAGATGTGGGCCGGTCTGACGTGCCTTGCAGATCATCGCGGCCATGAAGAAGACGGAATTCTTGAAGCCCTATGTCAGCTCTCGCTTCACGCTCTCCAAGGGCCAGGCTCCACACACGATGGTATTTTAGATCTTAGAAGGGGAATGAAAAGGAAGTAAACCGTCTCTCGGTTTAGTCTCAGCACTATCATCCCAAGGTCCTCCTTTTACGATTATCATTCTTAACTGGTAAGTTGTCGCACTTCTCGCCCCGTGTCAGGTGTAAGTTATCGAGCTAGTCTCCCCATTACCCTGCAACCTCGTCACCGAATGTCGTGTGAAGGTGGGCAAATACCTGATATCCCCCGTACGTCACCGTAGGGTCTCGCAAGTGAGCAGACAGACGGTGGTAGTCCAAGTCTCTTGCGGGATCAGGTCGAACTCTGACCTTGTCCTGCGTTCTCTTGACGAACTCTTCAAAGTCATCGTCCTCCGTCTGATCACACACGGACGCTCCTCTCTCCCCCTCCGGCTCGGAGGCTTCAGGGGTCACGTTGACACTCGCAGGATGATGTGGCACCTCGCCGCTCCTCCCGGGGGACCCGTGACTCCCCCCCCCCTCCTCCTCCTCCTGCTTCTGAATCCATGGCCTTCGGGTGAGGGAGAGTTCAGTTGGGACCTTGACGGATCCTCTCCTCGACTCCTCCGGCACAATGAGAGCAGTCAGGTGCGATCCCTGGGGGAAGCAGGTCAGAGGAGGAAGGGGAACGGAGCATCGACCTCGGGCCCTTGGAGGAGGCGGCGGAACTGCTGGCTGGACAGATCTACCACTGGAGTGTCGTCGATGGCTATGATCAGATCTCCCAGCTTCAGCTGCGGGCTGCTCCCTCCGTCCACCTCAGCCACGGCAAAACCTCCTCCGCTCTTGGCAAAGATCACTCCTGTCATGCGCGTCAGCCCCCGCGCCCCTTCGCCTCGCGGCGCACCTAGCCCACAGTCCTTCTTGAGCTCTTGCGCATGCTTGTGCTCAAAGCTGGTTCTAAGCCGAGCAAGCTCTTGCTCCAAGTCCACGTTCTTCATCTCGACTTTCCTCTGCCTCATGCCAGCTGCGTAGAGCTCGTCTTCGGTGGCTTTGAGGCGCTCCTGCAACTCTTTGATGGTGTTCTCGAGGGCCTTGGCGCTTGACATCTTATCGAGCTGCGAGGAGATCTGAGCCTCTTGCAGCATCACTATCTGGTCGTTGAGCTGCGAGATGATCCCCTCGTCCTGCTTCCCCTTGGCCGTGAGGACGTTGCAAGCTTCTATCGCTCTCCTCGCCGTCTCCTTGGCCTCCTGCAGCTCTCGGTTCTGATCCTTGGACCGTTCGTCCATGAGCTGCATCTCACATCAGCAGCAGTCAACCGGCATCGCTGTCACAGCACCTTCCGCTCGTTCTCGACATCCTCGTACTCCTTCTTGAGCTCTTCGATGAGCTTGAACTTGGACAGCAGCTCCTTGCTCCTCTCTCGAATCTCCTCCAGCTCGTGATCCTTCTTCTCCAGCTCCCTCAGAAGAGCTACCCTATCTTCCTCTTGCGCTTTATGAGAAGCTCTCACGAGGTCAAGGTTCGAATGCAGTTGTCCCCTTGCTTCTTCAAGCATCCTGCAGGAAGGAGCTCAACGAGGTTATCAAGGAGGTTGACATGCACAGACCAGAGCTTCTGTTCGAGATCATACTTGTCGTTCTCGAGTTTTGACATCTTGGTTGTCAGGTTCTTTTCTCTCTCATCCAGAGCGATTCGCCGTGACTGCTCGATCTCAAGTGCGTTGGTTGTCTCTACCAGCAACCGCTGGGCCTCGTCGATCTCCGACGTCTACAGGGAGGATCACAGTCGGAGCATGCAGCACATGGAGCAACAGCGGCAGCTCACCTGCTCCTTCAACGTGATGAGAGCACTGGCATGCTCATGCCTCAACTTGCTCAGTTGTGAGGAGATGAGCTCGTGGTCTTGCCGCAGGTACTCGTGCTTGTTCTCCAGGGATCGCAGGCCCTCTTGTGCTACAGTCAGTTGCTGACGAACTTCTCGCTCGCGAGCCTCGGCCGATATCTTCTTGGCCTTGTCATCTTCGATCTCGGCGCTGAGTTGTGAAATCCTGGCGTGGAGGGAGAGGATTTCGTTGGACTGCAGAGCCTTCTCTTCTGTCAGGACCTTCTGCTGCTCCCCGATCTCCTTGTACTCCTGGCTGAGCTTGGAGAGGTCTGACTTGTGCCGCAGCACCTCTGCCTCAGAGTCCTTCAGCCTCGCGTGCAGGTCGTCGATGCGGGTCATGAGCGTGGCTATCTGGCTCTCATGCAGCTCGTTCTCGGCCTGGGACAGGTCACTCGAGGGCCCAGCACAAGCAGAGCTGCACCTTGACGTTCTCCATCTCCTCCTCCTTGTGCTGCAAGCGGCTCCTCAGCAGCTGGTTCTCGCTATCTGTAGCAGCGAGCTTGGCCGAGGCATCCTCGCAGCTCGCGCGCAAGAAAGAGAGTTGAGAGTCGAGGTCTTGTCTGGTCTTGTCGTGACTTCGAGTTTCTGTCTTGAGCTCGTAGTTTTCCTTCTCAAGCTTGGAATAATCTTCTCGCAGCCGATTGAACTCCACAAGATCCTGCGGGTTCGTCAGGGCGGAGCTGCTAATAGCCATGGGGTCTGACCTGCTTCCGTCGGGACTCGAGCAGCCACAGCCGCGAGTCAAGCTCTCGCCTGCTCTCCTCGCTCTCTAAAAGAGCATTCTGCATCTTCTTCTCCCTCTCTTCCTGATTCTGCCTCCACATCCGATACTTCTCGGTCTCAGAGCTTGCACTCTCAGCGTCCTGTCCACGGCACGTCACCAAAGTTCGCACAGCACTGACGAGGTTACAAGGGAGAGGTCTTCGAGCTTGGACCGCAGGGTCTGTAACTCAGTCTTGTCAATCTTCCTTTGAGTATTGAGGTTTGCAATCTCTCCTACACCAGAGGTCAGGCTACCCAATTGACTTACGGTCGCTCGGCCGAACCTTTGGCCTTATCCATCTCCTTCTCGAGCATGTCATTCAGTGCTCTCAGTCGTTTCATCTCTGCTGAGAACTTCTCGCTGCCGTATCGTCTCAGTGGTGAGTGCGGGAGGGTCAGTCGGCACCTCTGGACGGCAAGAGCTCGTTCAGAGTCCTCCAGCTTCTCGAGCTGAGCGTTCTTAGAGTTGACCTGCTCCTGCAGCGCGTTGCACTTGCGAGAAAGAGTCTCGACCTCCAGCTTTAGCTTCTTATTGCTCGTCTCAGCCGCCTTGATCTGATCTTGCCACTTGTTGCTACACCACTCTCGTGAGTCCTCGAAAGTCAAAGGACAAGACAGGACAAGCCAAGACACGATACTTTCAGAAAAGACAAGATCGGGAAAGACCAGACCTCCAGGTGGAGTACTCCTTGGTCTTGTCCTTGTACTCTCTCTCCCTCAGAGCGAGCTTGTTGGACAGCTCTTCTACTTTTGCGTTGGAGTCCGCGAGCTACCGGAGTCATCCGCGAACGCTCAAGGGTCTAAGATTTACCTGGCTCTTGGCGCTTGACAGAGAGGAACGCAAGTGCTGGATCTCGGAGGAGTTGTGGGACTCGATGTTCTGCCGCCTTGACGTCTCTGTGGCCCCGTCAGCTCCTGCTGGTCGAGGACCGAGGAGAGGACGAGAACCTTCCTTGAGCTTGTGATTTGACTCCACCAGCACCGCGATCCTTGACCTCGTGTCCTGAAGCTGAGAAATGACAGTCAACCCGTAGGAAAGAGAGGCAACGAAATAGCCGACTTTCATCTGGAGGTCTTTGATGGCAGCCTTGGAAAGAGAATACGTCACAAGTGAAAACGACAGACAAACATGATAGAAACAAGTTGCAAGACGAGGCTATTTTACATGATTGTTTGCCTCCTCGCTCTTCAGCCTTTCGATTTCTTTTGCGCCCTCCTGGATATCAGGAACTGAGATACGCTCTTGTTCAACTTACAGCACCTGATTCTTGCTGTCTTGTCGAGCTGACTCTTCCCTGCTCGAAGCAACTAGTTTCTCTAGTTTGCGAATTTCCTCTTTCATCTCTTCATTCTTCTGGTGCTCATCATACCATTCCTGATATCTGCATTCTGTGTCAAGTGAGTCTATGTAGCAGAGATCTTAGAAACCTTATTCTCTCTCTTTCCATCGCCTCCTTCTTGAGAGTTTCTTCATGCTGACGATTTTGTTCCTCAATTCTTTTCATTTCTTCTTCTTGGTGAAACTGCAGTACATCAGCTATCAGGTGCTGCAAGCGTTGTCATTCACAGCACCCTAATCTTTGCCTCATTCAGGTCAAGCCGACATGTTGTAAGCTCGTTCTTCAGGGTCTCAATCTCGCTTGTCAGCATCAAGATTTGTTCGTTCTTCTTTTTTTCCAGGACCTGTGCCAACGTCAGGGGAAACGACGTCAACGTCCTTCCTCACTGAGTAGGGGTCAGCGGAACTTTTGTTGGTGTTCAGAGACAGCTCAGCAGGAGTCGCTCCATCCTCGCCGACGTCGATGGGAGCTGTAGCCTTGTTCCGGATCTGCCATGCCAACTGTCATCTGCCGTGAGCCTGGAAGGCCTCTTACGCTGAAGGGAGTCGGCCAGGGGCTGGAGAGGTTCTTCTTGCTGGGCTGAGGTCAGAGGAGCACCTGGAGGCAAGACCGGGAACCTGCTGCGCTGCAGCTCCAAGAGGGAGATCTCACTGGCGTTCAACTCTTCCTGCTGCTGCATCGACTCGAAATCATCGTCGGTGAAGTCGAACCCTGCTCGTCGTCGTCAGTGATTCTCCAAGATGAGCAGACACGGTCGTTGCCGTTGCCGTCTGACGACTCTCGGTTGACGTTGATCTCGAAGACAAACTTTCTTCCCGTCTTGAGGTCCAGCCGCTCAAATCCGAGTCGAACAATCGTACCAGGACTGCCGAAGACCTTGAGAGCAGAGGTCAGCAAAGCAAAGGAAGAAGCTGCTCTACCATATCTCGAACTGTTTCAATGTCGTCCTTGTCAAGTCTCGATCCAGACACGCGGGACAACACATCCCCGGCCTTCACCATCCCGTTGCTGATGAAGATGTCAAACCTGAGGTAGACGCAGCCGCATCTTACATCGCAACGGGTCCATCCTTGATGATACTCTGGACCACTAACTCTCCTTTCTTGGCGTGCAGGACAAGTCCAACTGCAAGTGAGGTCAAGACTGAGGGCAACAACAGCAGACTTGAACCTCCGCCTATCCCTGAGAGGTCAACAGTCGCCAGCTTCTCATCGCTCTCGAGCGAGAGGTCCTCCCCTCTGACGCGAGTCTCCCTTGCCTGCTTCTGGTCAGATCAACTCACCCCAGCAGCTCAAGTCACCATGCTTGCTCGAGCAGCTCCGACCCTCCTGGTCTGTGTGGAGCGACGAAGCAACTTCGACGCCATATCTCGCTCGTCTTCCCTTGCTTAGTGGAGCGACTGGCACTCAGGCCCTCATGCTACCTCGCCCTGAGACTGAATAAGGAGGAGAACGGAGATCAGACTGAGATCACTTTTCTTACCATCCTAACATGCCTCGGATGTGATGCCCATGAACAAGAGATAGAAGGGTGACCACTCATATGGCAAGATTCTTCTCTTACAGAAAATGCATTAGCTCCTCCTGCAACATGTTCACAGACAAGTTACTCATCCATGCTCTCGAAAGGATCTCGCTGTGTGAACAATGCCTCTCAATCTTGAAGTTGCTCTGATTGATAAATCACTTGACTACCTCCTCTTTCTTTTTGCCTGAGTAAGAAGCGCGGCAAGCAATTTGACATAATCCTAACTTCTTCCTCATCTACGAACAACTTCCACCGTGCCATTTCATCCCTATGTCTAATTGAGGCTGTTCCATTCTGTCACTTACTGCTTACTCGATTCGTCGGATCCGAACATCTAATACCACTGAGTTTTCTTCTTCAGATCATGTCAATGCTCGCATCTATGTGCCATGCCACGGCAGCGGCGATTTGCAATCCTGCCCTACGGTGCCATACGGTGCACCCGCGGCTACTACTATCACTAACTGATGGCTCGGATAATCAATGATGATCATAGGAGACTCGTGCTGCACTGCAGCATGATCACCACAGGATCATCATGAGCGCGTCAATGCGCGCATGGCGCTCCTAGCGCCGGGTCGCCGGCATGGCCGACATTCGTTACATCGGATGCCCTTCGCACTATTGTCCTGCGAGTCCTGCTGGCCTTGCGGCCCTACAGTCACACGGAAACAACATAGTCACAGACAACAGCTGCCCCCACTTTTTCTAATTAATATGCTGAGGCGAGTCCGACTCACTACCACCCTTCTGAAGACCCGGGTCCTTGTGCGGAAATTTTCCCATAAAGGATGGTGGGTGTGTCGGGTAGGGTACGTTAATAGGAAATTGGAGGGGTACTACAGGATGGTGTGGCGAAGGGCGAGCGGGAGCTAGGAATGGAGCGGGGTTATGGGAATGTGCAGCGGGCGCTGCTGCAGCAGATGATGGTGAAGAGGTTCGTGGAAGAGCATGATCTCATCGACTCTATTAGAAGTCTCATCAACAAGTTCCCCTCCGAGCATGTTGAGCCGCCAAACGACGGGATGAATCTTATGTAAGTTTCAAAGACTGCACCTACACCTCCTAATCGCAATCGAGATGCTTCTGCCTATGGCACTTTGTTGAACTGAACTATGAATATACAAGACGTTGCTGTCTGAATGATTGCTGTAGGGAATTCTTCAATGACATGAACAAGGAGATTGGTCCGGATGGTATTAATTTCGCTGAAATCGTGAGAATCAAGTCTGAGAACAACCCCAGCGTCTTCTGGTGCAAACATGCGCTGAGATCTCTCATGGTTTGATGTGTGTCTTGTGTCTAGGGGGCTAAGGAGCGTCAAGAGTGTGATCGAGGATGAGCCAAAGGAGAACGAAAACCTTGATGAGAGCCTGTACACTGAAGCCGAACTTGCACTCTTCAAGTTAATCATAGAAGAACTGGTCGAACTTCTTCTTGTTTGGTTTATGCTTTTTTCTTGACATTGCTCTGTCATCAGGTAACAAACCCTATGGATAAAGGGTGCATTGATCATAATAAGGCGATAAATCTGGGGCTCAAGATCAAACCCAAGAAGATAGATGCCAAAGAGTCAACAGAGTTGATAGATCGCCTTGTGCAGGAGCATTGGCTGTCTAGATTCCAAGACGAAGATGGGAGAGGAGGAAGACATACTGCGACAAGGATCACGTTCGGCATCAGATCGTTGCTGGATCTGAAGAACTATGTCACCGCCACTTGGCCCGAGGAGGATTCCAGGTGTTGCACGTGGGAAAACGATTGGTAACGTGCGCGCGCTGGTGTCGAGGTGTCTTACCTGGTCCTCAGGCTGTTCCGATGGACGGTGGAAAATCGGAATGCACGGCAGTCCGCGGAGGGCGAGGAACAAATGGAGGAGTGAGACGTATGGTAAGAAGGGGAGAGGCAAGGTTCGAGCATGTTTGTTTCTGCAGTTTTGAGATGGTACAATACAACATCTGGTGGTGAGCTCAGCTCAGCTCAGCTCAGATCAGATCAGATCAGATCAGTTCGTCGTCGCTTCTTCCGACTTTCTGCCTAGCTGCTGCTGAGACTCGATTGCTAGAATACATTGTGATATTGAGGACTTGCGGGACATGGCCTCGATCAGTGCCTTGAGCGACTCCTCCCTGTTCTTCAAGATGGTGAAAGCTGCTACACACCCCCACCGTACTCTTTCCTGCTGCTCCCTGTCATTCAGCCTTGGGCGCGATCTGTAGAGGAAAGATTGGAGCTGCGAAAAATCAGCGTATCCCCCTATCGCATCGCCGAATCGAATGGCTTCTGCGACAACCCCAGCAGTCGACACCGCGCACAGGACGTCAAGAAACTCGTGCGAGATGCTGTCCTCCTCTGAATCGAAGAACTGCACAGCATTCAGGATCGGGTCATCGGCTGAGTACGCTGCTATCGGGAGCCCAAGGCAATACCCGACCAGGAAGTGTCCGGCTTCATGCCACAGCAGCCTCTCCCTGTACTCTTGGCTGGCCGCCCTCCTGATCTGGATAAGAACGAGCTGCAGCAGCCCGGGAACAGACAGTCCCATCCCAAGGAACGCAAAAGGCAGCGATCCCAGCCCAAAGGTGACGACGTAGCGAAGGAGGTCTCCTTGAAGGAACGGGAGGTTGGGATACTCGGGTATGAAGCATGCGGCCAATGTTGACAGCAGCATGCTGGACAGCAGCGTTGCGTAGAAGGACACGTTGAGAACTTCCATGTCGTTGTTCCCACTCAGGTCGAATGTATCCTCCTTGACCAGACCTCTCGTGAGCAGTCTCACCTCACCCACCGACACTCTTCTGTACAAGGAGGGCACGCTGTCCCACATTGACAGCTGCGAGCGCTCTTTGAGGGAGTTCAAGGCATCCACTACATCGTCTTTGCTCCAGCCCTCGCTGTTTTCGAGCTTCTCCAACCGCGATATCACATCTCGTATCTCTCGAGCCCCCTCGTTCTTCGTGCTACTCACTGCCTTCATCGTTATGCTCGTTGCGAATCCCCCTGGCGTGAATCTTGTGGCAGACAGGCAGCGGGCACCAGGAGCGGTCGTCCCGAGCTTGATAGCATGGAACGTGAAGCCAAGAGAGAGGTCAACGAGCAGCAAGAGGAGGCAGCACTGGGAGAGACACCTGCATCTGGTGGTCATCCCTCCCTCCCATCCCAAGTCAGCAGCGAGCATGGCTTTGTGTGTACAAGAGGCTTGCGCGCTGACCGAGATCCGGACAAAAACGACTAGTATTCATCATCTGCCGCAAACTATACATTAATATTCATCCTGAGGCGAGTCCTCCGGGAAAGTTCAACCGTGTGACCCGCCGGGCACGCGGCGCACCGTACGGTGGCGCGATTCGGGCTCCGGTTAGGCCGCAGTAGCCTACTGCGGCGGCGGCGGGGGCCGGGCCGGGCCTGGGCCGCCGGGCGTGCCACGCCGCCGCCGCGGGACCGTACGGTACGGGAGTCCCGGATCGGACGGAGGCTCGAGTCCGATCCCAGCCCGAGTCCGGGGGCCCGACCCGGATCCGGGACCGGGTCCGAGTCGGCGACCGCCGCGGGCGGCGTACGCCGTGACTCGGCGAAGTCACTGTGGAGTCCGGGCCCTAGGCCGCGTAGGCTGCGCAGCCGCCCCGCGGCACCCTGACTCGGGCGAACCGTTGAACAGCGGCACTGGCAGGCCGCCACTGCCGATTCAGCACCGTGCAAAGAGCAAAGACAGTCGGAGAACCAGCCATCACCCTGCCGATTGCTGTCCCCCAACTTGAAACCCAGCCTCCGAGGCTCGGTTTTCGGCCTCCGCATGACTCAGTAATGGGTCTTTACTACTAGTAAGCTACTTCACAATGCCATGTACAACAAACTTGCAAAAATAATCAACATCACAACGGAAAAATCGCCCACCAGGTTCACAACTTGGAAAAGCAAACCTGCATCGAGTCACACTCACAAGCACGCCCGTAGATAGCCCTCCCCTTGCAGCCGCTTCAGGCTCCTCCCCAGACCCTCGTCCGTCATGATCGCCCTCACCGTCCCCCTCATCGACACCTCATACAGCGCTATCCCCCGCCCCCCGCCCTGCCCTCGCTCGTACCCTCCCTCCCCGCAGTGATCCCCCAGCATCTTGGTCAGCGTCTCCAGGCCGTGCGGGGGGGTTCCTTTCTTGTCCACGTACAGCGGCAGCTCTACCTTCTTCTCCCCCACCATCCGCCCTGCCTGCCAGTACTCCACCTGCAGCTCGAAGAACCGCATGCTCACGCTCTCGAACTCCCCCGCCCCCACAGGACTGTGCCTCCCTGTGTCCACCTCCCCTTGCTCCCCCTGCTCCGCCTCCGTCCATCCCCCCGCCTCTGCCCCGTGCCTCTCAGACCCGACCGCCGGCGACCAGTCCCCGCCGTCTCCCTCTGTGGCCTTGCAAGGCTCGGCTCTCGGGGATGCTGCGTGCTTGCGATCCTCCCTGTCTGCCAGACCGTGTCGCTCCATGAAGTGCTGGTACCAGCTCATGCATGCCCGGAAGCCCTTCACCTGCAGCTGCCTCGCTGCCTCCTCGGCGAAGCCGCACACCTCAGCTCGCCCACGCACCCTTCCCTCACCAGACAAGGCATAGTTGTGCACAAGCCGCTCTAGCTCCGGGTTGTGCTTGACGGAGCATCGCTTGCGCTTGGTGTCCATGCCCGCGCTCGCAAGCCCCTTGAGCCGGGCGACGTTGTCAGGGCGGAGGATCTTGTCGATGGCGGTGCGGCTTTTTCCGTAGATGACGGAGAGCTGCTTGGGGGTGCGATGGAGGGAGGGGTCAGTGGCCTCGTAGGAGTGGATGATGTCGAGCTTCTGAGCGAGGGTGAGCCGCTCGTTGGTCTCTGACTGGTCGACAGGAAAGTGCATTGTTGTCTTAGAGACCAGGAAGTTTTGTGCTAACGAAGCACAGAACAGTACCTTCTTGCAAGATTGAAGGGAGATGGTTGGCTAGGACACTGAGAAAGGATGATTGTTGTTCGGGTAGGAAACGGAAGTGCAAGAATGGCGTTGGGTTGCGAGGGGTGGGAGGGCGATAGTTGGGGGATTGCACAGGAAGGGCCTTCGTGGCTATTGATAAAGTGGGACACGTTGGGCTGTTATATCTCCCCCGTCACGGGGCACATTAACAGAACGATGTGAAAACACATTGTTACAGAGAAACAAAGGTGACCTCTCGTCCCAGAGGTCATACACAGACTACGTATTTCGACCTCTGGGGGTCAAAGATCGTCAAAAATAATTTTTGAAACAATATGTTACAATGAAGCAGTGTGATTTTGATTCGTACTTGACCTTGAGATTATCAGGCACTTGAATCATTGACATATTCAACTCTCCAACTTAGCGCGTGGACGCATGACGACCTCTCGTTTCTAAACGACATCAGCAAGAAACCCGAAATAGCCAATTGAACCATTACTACATGTAATGACTGCACAATCATGTCACTTGTCACGGTGCTGGCCTCGAAGAGAACGAAGAGAGACCACAACGCTCTGATCATTTTACTGAGTAGTAAATACTTTTACAGGGCAACTGCTGACCTCTCGCACCAGAGGTCAGAATTGGCTACGAAATCAGCCAAAACCACAGCGTTTCAAAACGAACAACCGTGACAAATCCCCAGCTCTGTATCTCAAGACTGCGACGCCCATACAGCGACAACCCCCTATAAAAGCGGCCGGGCGTGAAACCTGAACACGAGGGCGGAATGCTTACGTCGTGTGGGCATCAACCCATCCTCTCAGAGACCAACGAACGGCTCACCCTCGCTCAGAAGCTCGACATCATCCACTCCTACGAGGCCACTGACCCCTCCCTCCATCGCACCCCCAAGCAGCTCTCCGTCATCTACGGAAAAAGCCGCACCGCCATCGACAAGATCCTCCGCCCTGACAACGTCGCCCGGCTCAAGGGGCTTGCGAGCGCGGGCATGGACACCAAGCGCAAGCGATGCTCCGTCAAGCACAACCCGGAGCTAGAGCGGCTTGTGCACAACTATGCCTTGTCTGGTGAGGGAAGGGTGCGTGGGCGAGCTGAGGTGTGCGGCTTCGCCGAGGAGGCAGCGAGGCAGCTGCAGGTGAAGGGCTTCCGGGCATGCATGAGCTGGTACCAGCACTTCATGGAGCGACACGGCCTGGCAGACAGGGAGGATCGCAAGCACGCAGCGTCCCCGAGAGCCGAGCCTTGCAAGGCCACAGAGGGAGACGGCGGGGACTGGTCGCCGGCGGTCGGGTCTGAGAGGCACGGGGCAGAGGCGGGGGGATGGACGGAGGCGGAGCAGGGGGAGCAAAGGGGAGGTGGACACAGGGAGGCACAGTCCTGTGGGGGCGGGGGAGTTCGAGAGCGTGAGCATGCGGTTCTTCGAGCTGCAGGTGGAGTACTGGCAGGCAGGGCGGATGGTGGGGGAGAAGAAGGTAGAGCTGCCGCTGTACGTGGACAAGAAAGGAACCCCCCCGCACGGCCTGGAGACGCTGACCAAGATGCTGGGGGATCACTGCGGGGAGGGAGGGTACGAGCGAGGGCAGGGCGGGGGGCGGGGGATAGCGCTGTATGAGGTGTCGATGAGGGGGACGGTGAGGGCGATCATGACGGACGAGGGTCTGGGGAGGAGCCTGAAGCGGCTGCAAGGGGAGGGCTATCTACGGGCGTGCTTGTGAGTGTGACTCGATGCAGGTTTGCTTTTGATCTTATTGGTTTTATACATTTTTCATGCTAAATTTAAAAGGAAATGCAATATCTGTTTTTCTATTCTGAGGTGCTTCGAAGCCAATCAGATGTATCGATTTTTACTGTTAGCCAATGAAGATGGCCTGCTCATATTACCTCGCTCAATGAAAGAACTACAAGGCCAGTGAATCTTTGCACTGCCAGCACGACAAACTCAGCATTGAAGCGGGAAGCATTCCCATCCGAGTCAGGTTGCTGATACTGGAAATGAAGCTGATACGTTGCTGATAGCGAATGGTGATACCTGATTGCCTCTCAATCCGGCGAATCTTAATTAATGAAATACTCGCCCCGTGACTAGTGTTGGGCCATGACTGTAGTTTACCACTGTGCTCTTGTGGTCATCGTTCCATTCGGAGCTGCCAGAGAAAGACAACCTTTCATACTTGTCCTTCGTGTCTATTATAATAATGCAATGTTTCGTCAATTTTACCTCCATTAAAAACTATTTACACGGTCCTTGAGATTCAAAGGTCGAATTCATGACCTCTGGGACGAGAGGTCATCTTTTTGTTGCGTTTTCTCAACGCATCGCAATATTCCACGAGCTCAAAACCTCAGATACTTCGAAAGGTACTTCACATTGGGGGTAGGGTGTCACGGAAGGGGCCCAACGGAGCAAGGTAGAAAGATGCTCATAAAATATTAGATACTCACATATACATTCACCCTACTGTACAGCATCTATATATGGTAAGTGTACCTCATAGATCAACACAGTGGGTGGGGGTACTCCAAGATAGGCACACATCTCCAATTTCTTCCTCTCCCCTCCTTCCTCCTGCTTCGCGTTCACATACACGTCAGACCACCAGCTCCAACGCCAAGACGACAGTTGAGCAGGAGATAGAATCCTGTTCCCGTGCTGACATGCACATTCCTGTCGACCAGTCAGAGACCAACGAACGGCTCACCCTCGCTCAGAAGCTCGACATCATCCACTCCTACGAGGCCACTGACCCCTCCCTCCATCGCACCCCCAAGCAGCTCTCCGTCATCTACGGAAAAAGCCGCACCGCCATCGACAAGATCCTCCGCCCTGACAACGTCGCCCGGCTCAAGGGGCTTGCGAGCGCGGGCATGGACACCAAGCGCAAGCGATGCTCCGTCAAAAATCACCAAGAACTAGAGCGGCTTGTGCACAACTATGCCTTGTCTGGTGAGGGAATGGTGCGTGGGCGAGCTGAGGTGTGCGGCTTCGCCGAGGAGGCAGCGAGGCAGCTGCAGGTGAAGGGCTTCCGGGCATGCATGAGCTGGTACCAGCACTTCATGGAGCGACACGGCCTGGCAGACAGGGAGGATCGCAAGCACGCAGCATCCCCGAGAGCCGAGCCTTGCAAGGCCACAGAGGGAGACGGCGGGGACTGGTCGCCGGCGGTCGGGTCTGAGAGGCACGGGGCAGAGGCGGGGGGATGGACGGAGGCGGAGCAGGGGGAGCAAGGGGAGGTGGACACAGGGAGGCACAGTCCTGTGGGGGCGGGGGAGTTCGAGAGCGTGAGCATGCGGTTCTTCGAGCTGCAGGTGGAGTACTGGCAGGCAGGGCGGATGGTGGGGGAGAAGAAGGTAGAGCTGCCGCTGTACGTGGACAAGAAAGGAACCCCCCCGCACGGTCTGGAGACGCTGACCAAGATGCTGGGGGATCACTGCGGGGAGGGAGGGTACGAGCGAGGGCAGGGCGGGGGGCGGGGGATAGCGCTGTATGAGGTGTCGATGAGGGGGACGGTGAGGGCGATCATGACGGACGAGGGTCTGGGGAGGAGCCTGAAGCGGCTGCAAGGGGAGGGCTATCTACGGGCGTGCTTGTGAAGGGTGCGAACCTAAGGACGCAACGGAGTGGAAGGATGTAGATTAGAAACGTGGGTGAAGATAAATGCGATGATTGAATAAATTGATGAATTAAGATGACTACACTTATTGCATTGAAAACATGAAGAGCAGCAGGATGTTGTTTCTTGTCTCGTCCGCTTGCTGCTTCTTGTTCGTTCACTTGTGTGCTTCTCGTTCTATACAACAAGCAACGATGGTACAGTACCCCTACCCCCTCAGCTACCCTTTAATTATCTGGGAATGTAACCGGTGCGGTATCACCCCTACCCCAGTGGCTCTCGTGTTGGACAGCATGAACAAAGCCGAGGAGAGGATGATGAGGGTGTAGGGGAGGGAGGGGAAGAGAGGCTGAAGGAGGGAAAGCTGAACAAGTTGAATAGAAGATGGAAGAGAGCGTGGAGGGGCCGGAAGGGGGGGGGGGGGGGGGGG